GTTATGATTGCATAAATAAATAAACTGCAAACATAAATACTTTAACTAAAAAACGATTGCCAGATCAAAATGAAATTGCTAAAATCTGCAAAACGAGCTTTTACAGCATACCTCTAACACCCCTTGCGCCACATTATTTTATGACGTATCATATGTGGTGTCGTGCATACGTGGGCACGCCCGCCAGCATCTTGCTTCCAGGAGCGGGCACTGTTGAGGCGTGCGCATCGCGCATGCACAGGGCCAGCGTGGCTATACACAGGCAACAACAAGCAAAGAGAGGCAGCGCGACAGTATCCGGTGCGGGCGGGCGCGACGAGCGTGTGAACTTGTTCGCAGGAGCTCGCGCATCACCTATCACTGAGGCCTAGGGACTGTGTGCTCGAGGGTCTTCGGGAGTAGCAGCGCTCGACTTTGAGCTTGCATGCCCTCTTTCACGTATTCACGAGCGAGCACCGCAAGCAGCACTTGCTTGCTGGGCGATGGGCATGGCAGTATGCGCCTTGTGCACACATGCCAGCGTCCCTGACTGAGCATCGCGTGGCACGGTGGTGGCTTCTTGGTGATCACGAAGACACAAATTCGATGACGCTGAGCTCAACTGTGGGCCTAGCCCACTATGCTTATTTGAACGGTTCTTATGTCCACTAACAAAAAACCGCTGATCTCTTCATTGCCTCCTAAATTTCAATTAGATGCTCCAATAATAATTACCCTATTTACCTCCTCGTGTTTAAGATATAATGTCCATCAATTAATTAATTACTGATAATATATCAATTTACTTCTCGTGTCGAGACTAGTACCATTTAATGCTTTACTATTATATCGGAACTTAATCCACCTACAGGGTTGAACATAATAATCTTTCTTGAGATAATCTTGGGGATGTCATCAGGTTATCGCACATGGTGACCATAAATAATCGAACGACACACCATACACACAACATCACTATCCAAAACATGTTAGATTATTGATCTAGCACAATGTATCTCACTTTTTGGTGAATCAAAGTAGCAAATACTATATGTATGTGTCTGTTTATATCTTGCGGGTTAAGAGTACACAGTAATGAACCGTGGTCTAGTTTGTTTACCGATCAGTTCAAAACAAACTTATCATCTCTGAAATCCATTCAATGCACAAAATACACTAGTTCTACAAAATCAGTCAAGACAGACTGTACAATTAATACTATAACCGTTCACGATGGGTTGTTCATTTCCATCTAAGTTGTGAACTAATTATTTATGTTTTACAAGTAACCAAAACGTGATCTTCTGTCTCATCCATGATGGACCACAATATCCAAATGTAAAACATCATAACATAAGACAATTTAATTAAACATGATTCTTATTCAAAAGAAAGGCAGTGTTTTACGCAAAAAGTCATGCTTTAAATATATACACCAACAAAGAACTCCCTCCTAAACCTACCAACACTATACTCCATTCCACTAACTACTTTTCTGGACAAACTCGTGGACTTATTAGAAGCCTTTTTTGGATTCCTCCTATGCTAGACAATACTTATCCCAATTGTTCAACAATTATGAAAGATGTCTAGTCTCTAAACTTACACCAGTGTAGAAACACTCGTTTGTAAGCTTGGATCTACAATAAATGAAAATAAAAAAGAAACTCACGAACACTCAGAGTAAACAATAAGATTCAATGGTATCAGTATTCTCAACCTATTCTCCTCTCGGAGAATATAATATCAAATCTTCTTCTCACAAGGTTGTTGTCCGTGACCATAGAATAAAAGATACCTTGGTTGTAAAGATTTCTTTTATACTCTAGATCTTCAAAATCTTCTCAAGGAATGTGTTTCCTTCAGTATAACTCTTCAATGGTACGAAAATTTTCAGATACATGGCCTTTTCAAAATTGATGTAAAAGCGCGTTTTTCCCTTAAGTGTGAGATTCTCCAAATTGGACTGAATCTTCAACATATCTTCAATAGATATTCTTCCTATCTTTACAAAATATGTCCAGATCCCATAAATTCGTTTATATCACCTCTTTTATTCAATATCCACCTTATGAAAAGTTTCCTACACATACAAGGATTTTATAAACATATAATCATCATAACAAAGATATCTATGACTACATATAAGGTATATATCATGTAATCATTTTTCTCATAAAGTTTAGGACATCATAATATTTACCATATTAAATATTAAGCATACATAGATAGAAAATATATACTACGACCTAAATAATAAACAAGTAATTAAATAAATTAAAAAACTTTCCGTTAAATTGTTTTGTTTGTCTAAAAAAAAACATCAAAATAACATCTAAAACGAAGGATTAATTTGGAATGATGCCAACAAAATATTCTGACACATCTAATATAGTGAAGATTGTCAGTAGATAACTTTAGACAACTACACCCGACTGCTACTCGAACTTGCACAAAAAATTGAAAATTGAGGAAGAGCTGAAAAATGTAAAAACATGTTCAATAAGCTGATCAGCGACTAAAGTACAACTGACGCACGATTGATTGAACTGTTTTGCATGTTCTTACTTATGTGTCGCATAACTTATCATATAATTATTTTGCACTTTCTCAATTAACTTCGCACGTCTGTCGAATAGTTTATCTTACAATGAAATCGCATTTACTCAATTACCTTCGCATGTCTGTCACATAATGAGATCGCACTTGATCGATTATTTTTGTTAGTCTATTGCGTAATCACATAATTATTTTGTACTTGCTCAATTAGATTCATTTATCTCTCATAGTTAATTTATCGCATAATTATTCGCACTTTATCAATTATTGTATAATTATCTCGCACTTTATCAATTATATTATCTGTGTATCGCTCTATTGCCTAATTTGTAGCACGATAACATAATTTGTCGCACATTTATAGTATAAGCTAGTTGAAGAAAAATTTAGTCCATCCTTAACAACATCACTGAACAAAAATCCAGTAAATACCTGGGTTTGCCCTTGGGAATTGGCAGTTCTAAAATTCAGGCTTTCACCTATATCTTGGATGTTGTGAGAGGCAGAATCAATGGATGGAAAAATAGACTCCTTTCACCTGCTGGAAAGGAGGTAATGATCAAGGCCATTCTAAATGACCTTCCTATTTTTGTGATGGGCTGTTTCAAGCTGCCAACTTCCATCTGTAAAGAGGTGTCCAGATTATGTGCAAGCTTCTGGTGGAGCAAGGGAGGTGATCACTCTAAAAGTGTGCATTGGATGAGCTGGGACAAAGTGACTTTACCTAAAGCTCAGGGGGGTCTTGGCTTTCAAGATATCAGACTTTTCAATGATGCCATGATCATGTAACAACTATGGAGACTGCTCATTATGCATGACCTTTTGGTTAGCAGATTACTTAAATCAAGATATTTCCCTGACACAGAATTCTGTGAGGCTAAGAAGAAGGTTGGAGGCTCCTGGCTTTGGAACTCATGGATGGGGGTTAAATCCAAGTTTGATAAGCTTGTCCAGGTTAGGGTTCAAAGTGGCAGAAACACTGCAATTTTTGGGATACCCTTGGGTCCCCTCAAACAACCTGCTCTAAGGTTCAGGACCTTCTGCATGGTAATGGACAATTGTGGAACTCTGCTCTCATTTATCAGCTGTTTGAAGAACCAGTGGCAGATGCTATCTTGCAAATGAACAATCTCCAACCTCACCTGGATGACAGATGGACCTGGCATGGTGCTAACAAAGGTGTGTTCTCAGTTGCCTCAGCTTACTCTTGTCTAATTTATGATAAAGTGGATCTCCTAGACAGGCCTGAAAGCAGCACCTCCAAAGCTAAGGATTTGAAAATCAGAAGTAGAATATGGCAGTTAAAAATCAAGAGGAAAATCAAACATTTCCTTTTGAAATGTCTCAATGGAACTCTGCCAGTTAGTTCTAACTTGATTAGGAGAGGAATGAATATTTATCCTATCTGCCGAGTTTGTGGAGATTCAGTTGAGACAGTTGAACATGTTCTGTGGCAATGCTCTAAAGCTCAAAGAGTGGCAAAAGGCCCCAGTAAGCTGGGAGTGCTTCTCTTGGCCGGCTGCAACATTTAAAGACTGGTGGTGGTCCATTTGCTCAATCAGCTCAAAGGAAATTGATGAAAGCGCATTCAACTTTCAACCTATCTATTGTGGTGGTTGTGGAAATCCCGCAACCTTTGAATTTTTCAAAAACAACAACTCTCCGAGCTTAGTCTCATTAGACAAGCTTCAAGGGAGTGGCTTGAATTTTGTTCCACATAGCTTGATGACTCTGGGATAAACTAGGTCGTGGAAGTTTTTTATCAGTCCTGGAGTATTCTTACTATTGCTCATTAGCAAAGGATCTCAGCCCCTTTCTGCCTATGTTAGTTATTGGATTTAGACCTCGTGTGGGAGGTCTCTCATTTTCATGCAATTTATTCGGTTTTCTTGTTGTACTTGAACATTGTATCTTTGGTTTATTATGGAAAATGCTACTTATCCCGCCATGTACTCACTCCCTGGCCTATTCCCTGATATTAGTCCGTAATAATGCAAAGATGTGTTAATTTTTTAAGCATATAATTAATAAAACAAAAATAAAGATAATAATATAAATATTTTATAAAATTCATGAGTGAACCTAAATTATTATCTTTATTTCCAGACCCACCAAAAAATTAAAAAAAAATACTAAAATAGAAAAGATGTAAAAAAACATAAATAAAATGAAAAATAAATCTCAACGTTGTTTCTAATAGTGAACCTAAATTATTATCCCTGATATTTATATTATTATCTTTATTTTTACTTTATTAATTATATACTTAAAATTAACACATCTTTTGCACTGACTAAATATCATGTATCATGGAGTAGCAAGTGAGTAAGTACATGGCGGGGAAAAATATCATGGAGTAGCAAGTGAGTAAGTACATGGCGGGGAAGGAGCATTTTCCATTTATTATTATGAGATTCCTGTTGTTTGTGAAAAAAAAAAAGAAAGAAAAATAGCTATTTTCTCTACAGGTAAAACCTCCACATAAACTGGTAGTCCTTAGCCATACACTCCAATTTTAGGCCCTCGCAAAAAGCCCTCACGCACTTGTTCTTCACCCCTTCACCACTCTCCCACTCGATCCTCACCCGCCCACTGAACCCATGCTCACACTTCTCCACCTCAGACCCCGCGAACCGCAGCCAGATCCCGCCGCCGATCCTCCTACACGCGCCGCCGCCGCCGGTGCAGTCCAGCCACCCGCACTCCGGCTGCCCCACCAGCTCCCTGTACGCTGCGTTGCACATCCTCACCCTGTCCCTCGAGTCCGACACGATTGCAGGCGCCCGCTCCGCCTCCACCATCTCCTCCACCGCGTCCGCGCCCTTCGCCGCCGCGAACCGCCGTGGATCCCCGGAGATGCTCTCCACCACCACGCTCGAACCGACCGGCCGGATCGGTTTGGGCGAGACCACGACCGGTCCGACCGGTATATCCCTCTCCTCCTCCTCCGCCGCCGCCGTCAGATTCAGATCTATCTCCTTCTCCTTACGGCGGAGCAGGGGAAGCTCGACGGAGTCGGCCAGCAAGGTCACGGCCGAGTCGAGGCAGCAGCCGACAGGGACGAATTTCAGATTCGCGGCGAGATTGTGGTAGGCCAGCGGATGGACGAGGCAGGCGCGGGAGCGCTTGACGGAGGCCGGGGAGAAGGCGGCGGCGCGGCCGCGCTTGCGGGTGCGGGTGGGGCGGGACTGGAGGTGGGCCCACACGGTCCTCAGGTAAGGGGATTTCTGGTCGCCGTCGGCGGCGGAGTTAGGGTTTGGGGTATCGGGCTTGGGGGCAATGGGCCTGTACCTGGACATGATCTCAGCGGTCCTATCCGGCTCATGAGGATTTATTNAGCTTACACTTCACATTGTGCAATATTCCTTCCCTTAAATCCCTTTTTTCTAACTATTAATTATTCATAATAAAAAAAAAAAAAGAGAGAAATAGGTAATGGTTAGGTAACGATTTTCGGTCTCGGCAACTTTTTTACTTCTTTTGTTTTCGTAATTTTGCATAATTGCATACACAACAAAAATATAAATTGGATTTCCATTTTCTTACAATCATTAAAGTTTTGCAACATTAATGATATTAGGACATCTACTAATATGAAATAAAGTTGGAGTGCTCATAACTCACTTAAATGTATGGTTTAAAAAAATCATTTACCCGGCCAATATATTTGAAAAGAAAGCAAACATTCATGACGTGCTTATCTCATTGGAGGAAGAAATAAAATTTCCATCTAAAAGATGAATTTATATATCGATATATACATGTACAGTTAGAAAAGCATTTAATAGATTTTTCTTTTTATACTTAATATTTGTATTTTATTTTTGTTTTCCTTGATAATATATTGGAAAGGGTGACGTGGGCAGTTATGATTTGTTGAAAGAAAAGGCAATTACCAATGAGGCGGTGGGCAGAAATGTGATTGAGCAGGACAAAGGAGAGAGCCTTTTGTCTATCAACGCGTGTGCAATAGGCCTGCATGCATGCCTACACCTATTAGTGATTTATCACTTATCACTGATTTATTTTTCACTTGCCATTTCTTGTCTCATTTTATTTATTTATTGCTTAATAGTACATTTTACAGAAAATTAGTACATACTCAGTGCAATGCACGAGATAAAAATATTAAATGAGTTAGTTTTACAGACTTGGTCCGTTTAAGTCTAAAATATAATAAGATTATCATCTATTTTCCACCTCTCTTTTAATGAGCGTTAAATCTAGAAAACAATAAGATTATAATCAATGGAGGAGATAATTTTTTGGAACGGTGGATTCGGGTAGGTACAGACCAATTGTTAATAAAATAAATTAATGCATTGTACATATGACAAAATATTATTCACTGGTATACACAAATTCAATTTTAACTAATAAATTTCCCAACGTCCATTTCTTTTTCGAACTGTAGGCTCTGGACTGCCTTGGAGAAGAAGTACAAGATTGAAGATGTTGGGGCGAAGAAATTCGTCGTCGGCAAGTTTCTCAACTTCAAGATGGTCGACTCAAAGACCGTCGTGTCTCAAGTTCAAGAGTTTCAGCTAATCTTGCACGACATCCATGCAGAAGGAATGACTTTGAGCAAGTCGTTCCAAGTTGCGGCTGTGATTGAGAAGCTACCTCCGGGTTGGAAGGACTCCAAGAACGCCTCAAGCATAAAAGGAATGAAATGAGTCTTGAAGACCTCGTGGTTTGTCTTCGCTTAGAGGAGGAAGTCTTCGGAAAAAGTCTTGATGATAAAGGCCCGTGCCATCTTGTTGGAGTAAGGCCAGCAAGAAGAAGCCCTTTAATAAGGGGAAGCATCTAACCAAGTTCACGGGTTCAACGGGAGTGTGTCGCTCCCTTTGTGCGAAATTACTCTCCCGATCAGGTTCAGAATGTCCATTTGCAACGAGTGCGCCTTGCTTCTCTCGCGGGGCGCCAATGTCCGTTTGCCGTGAGTGTGCCTTGCTTCTCTCACGCGGTGCCGTTTCGCGAGGCGCGGATGGACTTTCGCGACGAGTGGCTACGTGCGGCTGGGCTCGGGTAGGATCTGTGGCCTCCAAATCTGATCGGGAGAGTGATCTCTCCCCCTTTACAGTCCATGGCGAAGGACTGTAAGAAGCCTAAGAAGACTGGGCAGAAGAGGGTGCAATCGAGTGCCTAAATTGCTGAACATGCCCATGTGCCTGATGAACTGAACGACATGGTTATGTCAGCCATGGGGTTTGAAGCCAACATGGCGGATGTAAGAAACGGGGGTAAACGGGTATGGTCCTACGCACGTTAAGCGCACCATAACAGGGTGAGCCCAAATGAAGCCCAAGTGAGGTTCCATCCCAAAATCAACTGGTGGAAGGAGGAGAGGCCTACTTGGCTTATAAATTAGACCTATTTTCCCTATATAATCGAAGTGGGACAACTCACAAGTGGTATTATTCTAATACACTTGTAAATACTTCATACGAAGCCCAAGCCCAAGCCCATATACGGGGTTGTGTCCAAGCCCAACTGGGCTGGGTGATGGGTATGACATCGCACGGTCCCACGTAGAACTGACTCTGATACCATGTAAGAAACGGGGGTAAACGTGTACGATCCCACGCATATGAAGCGCACCATAACAGGGTGAGCCCAGATGAAGGCCCAAGTGAGGTTTCATTCCAAAACCAATTGGTGGAAGGAGAAGAGGCCCACTAGGTTTATAAGTTAGACCTATTTTCCCTACATAAACGATGTGGGACAACTACGAGTGGCATTATTCTAATAGTGGATAACCCAAGGGAGTGGTACATTGATATTCGTCCCACTCGCAATGTGTGTTCCGATAAGGAGTTGTTTTATGACTACACTCATTCTACTGGTCGGAAGCTCCACATGGGCAACTCATCCTTGTCTGATGTGGCTGGGAGTTGGCATCGTGGTGCTGAAGCTGACTTTTGGAAAGGAGTTGAAACCTAAGGATGTTCTGCATGTCCCGGACATCCGCAAGAATTTTGTCTCCGGATCTTTTCTTGTAGAGCATGGATTTAGGCTAGTGTTTGATGCCAAGAAGTTTGTGCTTGGAAAGTTTGGTAATTTCTTTGGTTGTGGCTATCTCGACAAGGGATTATTTAAGATGAATTAATGGTTATGAGTCGTGTATCAGTTTCTGATGTTAACGAAAAGCCTATTTCTGATTATATAGTTGAGTGCTCTTATTTATGACATATTAGATTAGAACATGTAAATCTAACTGCAATTAAATGGTTGATGAACTTAGAATTAATTTTTATTTCTAAAATAGAATCACATAAAAAAGGTGAAATTTATGTTGAAGCCAAATTGGCTAAATTACTTTTTCATTCGGTGCAAAGGAGTACTGAATTGTTGGGTTTTAATTCATACTGATGTATGTGACTTGAAAATTGTGAAAACAAGAACGAATAAAAAGTATTTTATACCTTTTATCAATGATTGCACAAGCTTTTAGAAATTTTAAGACCGAAGTTAAAATAAATTCGACAAAAAAGTTAAAATAATCCAAAGTGATTGGGGTGAGGAGTATATAGCTCCTTTTGAACAAATATGTTCTGAATATGGCATAGTTCATCAAACAGTTTCCCCCTATTCTCCATAGTTGAACGGTGTTGCTGAATGAAAAAACCGGACTTTAAAAGAAATGATGAATGTCATGTTGATAAATTCAAGATTACCCCAAAACATGTATGTGTGTGTGTGGTGGGAAGGGGGGGGGGGGCAAATCACATCCTGAAAAAAATACCACCTAACGGGAAAATGAGACCTCTTACGAAATGTGGAAAAATCGTAAATCGTCTTATAAATACCTGAAAGTGTGGGGGTGTTTGGCTAAGGTTTCAGTTCCTGAAACCAAACAAATGAGAATCGGACCAAAGGCGATCAATTGTATTTTTATTGGATATGCATATAACAGTATTGCATATAGATTTCAGGTTCATAATCAAAAAATTCGGAGGTATCAGTTGGTACCACTATTGAGTCGATGAATGCTATATTCTTCGAAAATATTCTTTCTATGAAAAAAAAGACATAATCTATTTCTAACAAAAGAACGTATGAAACTGCTAGCGGTTCTGTAGTGGATTGAAGGTGTAACACCTGAACCTGGACATGTCTTTCCACCTGACTAGTTTACTGAACCTGGACATGTCTTTCCACCTGACTATTTGGTGGTTACCATGTAGTGGATTGAAGGTGTAACACCTGAAACGATTTTGGAATTAACAAAAACCATGAGTGGCTGTTAGTGGCTTGACTGCTACAAGGTGAATATCATAAGTCATCCCCCATTTGTATTGGAAGTCCTATAAATAAGGCATGTTATAGAGCATCAGAACATACTATCATCTGAAAATTTGCATACTCTCCAAAGCCTCACGCATCATAACATTCAACTACTCAATTCATGACTATATTCAAGTTTATTGGAGCTCGAAAGTTGGTGTGGTACAGCCTTCGAGAAGTCAGTCGTTGTATCTTTGGGGACGAGACACCTGAACCCGTTAGCACAATACAAGGCGTTTTCGTCTTGCGGAAAGAGCAGTCGCCTCGGCTTGTTTTTCGCTTTCTTTTTGTAATTTTCACCTTTTTCAACTTCTTAGTTAATGTTTTAAGAACTGAATCACCGTCTTCAGTTCATAGGTTCTCGTGTAATTTGATATAAATTTATATAACACGAGGTACAAGTGTGATGTTTGTGGTTATATAAATTTTTTCCTTAAAATGATCAAGGTGCAGTCTAGGGTTGATGTTAAAAAGATAAGGTCAGATAATGGCAGTGAATTTATAGGGAAAGATTTGAGTTGGTTATGAAAGAGAATGGAATATTGCATCAAAAGTCTTGTCCTTGTACTCTACAACAAAATGGGATTGTGAAAAAAAAGCATAAGTCAATTTTGGAAATTGCGAGGTCTTTGTCTTTTCAAAGTAATTTGGACAGATCACTTTGGCCAATTACATTATTAGTCCATATAATCAACTCACTACCATCAGAAGTACTAGGATGGAAAACACCCTATGAATTGTTACATGGAACTGTTCCTTGCTATGAGATATCCAAGGTATTCGATTGTCTTTGTTATGTTGGTAAGAATGAACCTAACAAAAGAAAAATTGATGCTAGAGTTGTACCTTGTGCATTTATGGGTTACGTCAATGGTGTAAAGGGATATAGAGTTTACAACTTGGACACTAAAGAGGGTTCTATATCAAGGGATGTGATATTATATGAGAATGTAATTCCTTTTCTTGACAAGGTAAAGGATAATGACTCAGTTCCATTTCCAGTTATTAATGCACTTGTATCATGTGAGAAGACAGATACGCATCATGTGAAAAGACAGATACAACTCTTGACTGAGAAGGAACCAGGAATAGAAAACCCCCAAGTTGGCTTCAGACTATGGGGTAGACTTAGCTCCACATGACAAAGGGAATGAAGAAATTGGTCTGTTTTTAGTAGAGGTGAATAAGTCTACTATTGAACCTCTCTTTTATGAGCAAGCCATTAGAGATAACAAGTGGATTGAGGCAATGGACAGAGAGTTGGTTGCACTAAAGACTAATGAAACTTGGGAATTGGCATCTTTATCTAAGATTAAAAAGGCTATTGGTTCCAAATGGGTGTATAAAATTCAAAGAAATCTTGATGGGAGCACATACAAGTTTAAAGCAAGGCTTGTGGCAAAGGGTTATCTTCAAATGGAGGGCATTGATTTCATGGATAGTTTTTCTCCTGTGGCCAAATTAGTTTTAGTCAAGTTGATCATTGTCTTAGCCACACAGCATGCTTGGGAATGCATCATATCGACATAAACAATGTCTCCCTACATGATTTCTTGGATGAAGAGGTTTGTATGCTACCTCCTAAAGGATATAACAAAGCTGCTGAGCTTTCTTATGTTTTTTATTTTGTGTTCTTAGATTCGTATTTTTACTTATAGTGTCACACTCTTCAGATTATTATATTTTTGGTTGTTTTGTTTGTTGCTATATGAGATGCGTGTTACTTGGAGATTGGCCCATCCTCCAATATTCTTCTAATAGTTAAAGATAAAGATGTATATATCTTCTTCTCCATTTAAACTCTGCAGATTTTGATGATGAAATGAAATACTAGTAGAAAATTCCCAAATTCTTAGAACAAAAACGTCTATGATTTCATCATAGCTTTACAATTTCGATAACGAAGAGCATATTTGGCATTGTTGTCGATTTGGCCGATAACATTCTTTATCAGTATTTATACAATATATATATATATTGAAAGAGAATGGTCAATAAATCATTTTTAGAAAGTTTATAAAAAAACTGAGTCAACCATTTGACTTACTACTTATGGAAATTGTTTAAAAAAATTGAAATTTTGTTTGTTTAAAAAATTTGAAATTCTGTTCATTTTAAAAAATTCAAAATCATTCCATATTTTGCTCAATTGTTCACGCGTTTTCAAAAATCCTAATTCTATATTTTGCACAAAAAATTATTCACGCGCTTTGAAGAATCTTAATATTGTTACGGCTTTGAAAAATTTAATATACATCTTATCCCAATTTTAACAGCCGAAATAATCCTTTTAATGCAACAAAAAATCTGTTAATGCGTTGTTAATTTACGGCCTATCACATGTTTGCCAAAATTTTTTGTTAGTTACGGCTGAATAATTAATGGTAACAAACCACTAATTAGATCACACATTCAACTTTGAAAGAGATTTAATATTACATAACTCTATTTATCAATTTTTTTTTTTTGTTTTATAAAATCGATCTATCTATTTTTTTTTCTTGGATAAAATCGGTCTATCTTTGATGTATGTTGCAAACCATTTTCTTTCCTCAAAAACTGCATCTGAACACATTTAAAAAATTAAAAAATATTAGTACTGCCGAGCATAAAATAAAATATATCACATATAAAAAGTTTCAATATCACATGCCAAATAAATAGATTAAAAATTATAATGCAAACTAGGCAAATTACTTTTAACACATGGCAAATTATGTTACGTAATCCGGAGTGACTTTGCAAAATTTAACTTGATGAATATAATATTTTTATGTTAATATGTAAACTTTAAATATGTTTTTATATATAATATTGTATATACTTCTAAACATGTTGTTTGGGCAAAGTTTTTACACATTCTTTAAGCAATATATATATATAGTTGTTAACTTTAAGTGTTTTTATATATATTTTTCTTATAAAATAGTCTAGAAAAAAATTTAGGTAATTTCACATTTTTCAATAATAATATATAATATTTTAATACTCTTACATACGCTATATAATATTCTACGATGGAAATCCCCCCCAATGGCATTTTCCGTGGAAACAGTATTCTTGCATATTTCGATGATCCTTAGTATTCTTAATGTTTTTTCATTGTAATATTGTTAACACATATAATATTCAGATACTTTTAAACATATTTAGATAAATTTTTCACACCTTCTTTAGATTAAGGAGGTATATCAATATAAAAATAGGTTAAATTTTAGTATTTAGACATGTTTTCCTTATAAAATAAATTTGAAAAAATTTTAGGTGACTTCACACATATTTCAAGCATAATATAGAATATTTTAGATAGTTTTTACGTATAAGATTTTTTTAGGTACTTTTAATATCTATATGCATAAAAAGAGTAAGATTTATAAAGAATTTTCGGAAAATATACTAAATCTTAGATAAAAAATCTCATTTTATTTGTTATATAATATTTCGATTTGCATTAATTTTGATTTGTTATATATTCTATGTAAATCTTCTCATCTATCTCAAACGTCCGCAGACTTCACATCAAAGTTTCACAAATTTTACTTCACAAATAAAGTGTTCAATAATTTATAATTTATTTTACCTTCCTTGAGATCCATTTATTTTTGTTACATATATATAAATTATATTAATTTTAGTATTTCGCACGTTAAACATTTCAAAAAAATATATCATCTCACGCATCGCACGGTCTACGCGCTAGTTGAGATGAAACTGGAAGATTACAACTGCCAAATATATTGTTCGGGAACAATCAGGTGACTCAAAGTTGAGGTTGGAGCATAAATAAAACTCGAACTAACTATGATAATAATAATAACAATAATGTGTTATGGATACAGGAATTGGACAATATGCAAAGACAACTGAGTAGTTATTAACCAGAATCTAAGTAAGAACCAGCCTTATATCAGAATGCCCAAATAACATACCAATCAGAATGATAGCACACACGAAAAAATTCGCTCGTGAAAATACATACTTAAATGTTTTGCAAGAACAAACAACTAAAGTTCAAATTCATATATCCAGATTTTAAANAAAAATTGCACAACTTAGTGTGATCACAAAGTAAAGGATGTTTATTCATGAATCTGCAGCAGGTGTTGTTGCGTAGTCCTTATGATGATGGTCACCCTCAAGCTGGCTCAAATTGCCTTTCTCCTTGATGAGCTGAATATGGTGGTGTTTGCAGTAAAGTCGACCCTCGTGGGCTATGTAGTTTGACGGGCTTATTACGCACCCACCATGGCTGCACTTGAAGCAGCTCTTGTGGTAAGGAGTACCATTCACAGACACCTGTCAAGGATTTAATATGAAAAATTTGTTAGTCAAAGTACACTTCTATTCTTCAAATAATTTTTACCTTGCAGGCATTACCAAGAACGAGATACAATCGAGTTATATATTTATTTACATCTGGTTTTTTACCTTTTCGGTTGGGTACACTGTGTTCTTGCAGGCCAGGCATTTCTCCTTTGTCCCGGCAAACATACTCGAAACTTTATTCGCTAGAGGTTTCTGTATTCAATCAATTATACATTAGTTGAATGGAACAAAAGACTGTTTTATATGTAAAAAAATTCATTTAGTTTTATTGATACCTCAATGTCAGCAGGTTTCTCTGGTTTTGCAATCTTAGGAGTTCCTGATGAAACCAAAAACAAATCCAAGATTTAAATAGTTTATACATAATGAGAATTATTATAAATAGTTCAGCTCCCTATTATAGGTAACGTTGATAAATATATGCATATATTTTCTCACTTGATATTATATTCCTACTCTAAATCTAATAGATGTATTACTTGTCAAACATAAATAGTAAAATGCAGATCTAAAGCTAAATTAAATCTAATGTAATCAAGCAAAACTGCCAAGTGCTAAAATTAGCACAAAGGTAGATTTATGTCGGGTATCTTTAATAACTAATAAATCTATTACCTTCAAAGCTTTTCTCCAAACTTCCAGTCCTTTTGAACAGCTGATCAAAGTGTGGCCTGCAATAGAGTACCCCCTCGAAAGAGTTGTAATTCGCCAGCTGCAAAGTAATTTTTTTTATTATTAACACACACACACAACAAAAATATATATTTTCAGTAAAAGGTTATCAATCTTTGATTGATTAAGTACGGATCTACTGCAAATGGGTTTTTTTTTTTTAACGAGAGAGAGAATAAAACAGAGGAGAGAGATGGAGAGGGATTTGTTTGAATTGAAAGTTGAAGTCAAGTGATGAATATGCAGATCAGTTGATTTTGACAAAGAAAAAATAAGTGGGGAAAAGGGGAACCTTGAGAGTGCCCTTGCAATGGTGGCATCTGAAACAAGCCTTGTGGTAGACTCTGTTATCAGCTGTTAACTTGTCCACAAGATATACTGTCTTCTCACAAGCCATGCATTTCTGTGTTGTTCCTGCAAATGCCATTTTTTTGGAAATCAAGATTTGATTTTTTATTTTTTTTTTTCTATTTTTTTCTTTTTGTGTTTTTTTTCTTAGATGGGGTGAGAGTGGGAGTCTGGGAGATGGCAAGATAAGGGATGTATACAATCCTTGGGCAGATTTAAACTTTTTTGTTTTCTTTTTTTTGGTAACTTGTAATAATTAATATAATTGTGGTAGATTAGGCAATTGTGCCAATCATTTGGTCCCGTTTGTTACTATGTTACCACCCAACAACCTTTTGCTAGATTGGATCCTTTCACTTTAGTTTCCCCTCCTCCATGTGGAGTAATTTTGTGTTTAATTTTTATCCTTGGAAATGGAATAAAACTACCATTTAAAAATCTTTGGAAATAATCCTTTTATGATGATATTAATACAATATCTGTGTACTACACATAGTTTTTAAACCCGACTCGAAAATCAATTCGGGCAGGTCTACGGGTCACCGGTTCAACCGCCGGGTCACCGAGTCAATTGCTTAACCGGATAACTAATTTTAAAATTTTTAAAATTATATATATAGTACTTTTGGCATATACAAAATTCGTACATTTAAGTGTTAATAATATTGTATCTCACAATAAATATTTACTATATCATTATATTTACATAATTTTTATTTTTTATATAAAAAAATATTAATAAAAAATAAAAAAATTATAGAGACCGTCAATGACCCGGGTCGACCGGGTCAATGACGGTTTGACCGGGACCATTGTTACTCGGTCCAAATAGCCCACCCGTCCGGGTTCGGCTCTGGGACCCCGGGCCCGGTTCGGGTCAAAAAACAATAGTACTACACATGTATTTGATAAAATAATTGAATGTACAATAAAAAAATGAAAGAAAAAAATATTTATATATTTTGTTGAAGTTCAAAAAAGTAAATAATAATGCGATTACAGAAACCACAAAAAACCCTCTGCCGACAAAAAACCCCCAAATCCATCGTCTTCAACCTAGGCCTGATTGCCTTCCTCTGTGACGATCTGACGCCGGCCAGTGGTCGTTTCTGACTGCTCGGCCCGACCCTAGGTTCGCAAGTCTTTATTCTCCCTGCAGGTGTCGCGATTAGTGGATCTCTTCGTCGCCGGTGCGCTGTGTCGAGCTTCCTTGGTCGGAGTCGCAAGGCCTCTCCCTGGTCGCCGGCTGTCTTCGATTGGAGGAGGGAATCTTCGAGCTTCGATCTGCTTCTGGATGGCACTCTGTCGTGTCCTCTGGTCGCCTTCGCTGTTCACGGCAGGGCCTCCTGCGGTTTGGGCTCTGGTCGGCGGCGGGTTGCAGCGGTGTTGGGAAGTGAGTGAGCCGAGGTTGGGCTGGGACTCCGGAAGCTGTGGCAGTCCGGTTACGACAACCGGAGTTGAGGGTATGAGTCATCCTCACCCTCCCTCGTTGGCTAGTGGTGTTAGGCAGCGGGAACTCGAGCTCGTCTAGTGGTGTTAGACGGTTTCGGGCCGGGCTTGGTGTGGGGGCGGATTGTTCTCCTCTCGGTTGGTAACAGGTCGATTCTGGGATTGGTTCGGGCTCGACGTTGGCTATTGTATAGGCGGTTGCGCAGTTTCGGTAGTGGTTCTTCGGGCTTGGAGTCTCTCTCGTGTCGATTGTTCACTGTTGATTGGGTCGGTTCGATTGCAGTGGAAGGGCTTTGTGTGTTTTAGTTTTGTAGTTCTTGATTCGAGTTGTGAGTGTTGTTTTGTGCTAGTTTATGTTTTAGTTAAGTGTTTTAGGTTAGGGCCGTTGCCCCCTGTACACCTGAGTGTCATTTTCATTACCCTGTTGGGGTCCGACACTCGGGAATTACCCTGTGGGGGTCCTGTGTTGTTGTGTTTAGTTGTTTTGGGTGTTTTTAGTTTCTAGAGTATTACCTCGTTGGGGTCGGTTATAGGCGGTCTTTTGACCTGTCCTCCCAGTATTTAAAAAAGTAAATAAGGAATATTATATAACAATTTATAATAAAAAACTAAGTGACCTAATAATATTATTTAAAATATTGAAATCTAATTTATATACATTATTAGTTTTATCTATGATATTTTTAATTAAAACATATAAGAGAACAATATGGACAAAGCATAAAATTTGGGAAGTAATGATATGCACATTATAGAAAGAACATATGAAAAATTTTAAAAATTTAGTTAATATGTGTATATATGGTAATCCAAACCTAAGCTATCTGATATAAAAATTTAGTAATTTTTATCCGAGCCATATTACAAAGCATAATATTTTATCACATAAGTTTACGAAGCATGCGAAGTTGCCACTTAGGCTCAGCGCGTTCTGAAATTATATATAAAGGGAATGTGATGAGCTTATTGTCAGAAGATAGAACTTTTTGTAGGCTTCCGTTCGAGTGATACAAAACAAGTTATTCCTGTAGATAAATTCCATCCTGATGTGGCACTGATCCAACAGAAGCTTTAGTTGTCTGATCAATATACACTCGTACAGTTATTTTATTGGCGGTGTCTGTTGATCCAACAACTAAAGTCTCAACATCGCCTAGGGTAGTAAAATGTAATGCTCTCAAGTCACTTGAGATGTGAGGAAAACTAATAAAGTTTACCTCTATTCTAGTAAAATTTGAGTATATGTTTTGATGGGGAAATTTTCATTTTGATATCCAGAATATATCACCTTTTCGCTTTAATACTCGAAGATCCAACCTAATCTGTTTTGTTCACTAAAATTTTCAAAATGAATCGCTTTTGGTCCAAACGTTAAAAAACAATTAAAACTAACGGTCATTGCCGTCTCTACTGGCGGATTTCAACAAATTATAGACTATTTTGAATATCTCGACTGAACTTTATAGAACGATACATTTTATTTTAACATTCGATATCTCGAGATTCGTCAAAATCGTCGTTAAAGGTTTCTTTAACAAATTAATTTTTAATGACCAAATTTGATTAAGTTAGAACCTTTAACGACGATTTTACAATTTTGAGGTATCGTATGTTGAAGTAAAAAGTACGTTGGATAGATTGAATCGAAAACTTTAAAATGGTATATAAATGTGGTATATTTCGAGTACTTAATTTTTCCTTTTTTGATAGGGAAATTCGACTCTTAAATTTAAGCATAGGTTTGAAAGTAAATAAGTTTGAAAAAGTTCATTCAAACTTGATTCATTTTCAAATTCAGTAAAAGTATTTAAATTAATATTCTTTATTTTTGGCTTAGATCAATGCATTCACTCACATACATTGGTATCACTTTTTTTTAAAATAAAGCATTATACATTTATGATAATTGAATATTTTTCTTTCAAGGAACTAAGGTCACAGAACTCCTAACTGTTTCTTGCAAAAATTTCGAATACAAAGCAACAAATATTATCACGAGGAACTCATAACTGTTCCTTACAAACGAATTGAAGTAACATGCATGGTGGGGCTCGGTAGCCCCACATTGGTTGTCTATGTGGGTCATATGCAAATTGCCTTTCAATTAGGTTTAATTGGAGCATCTCCAATTTTATAGTTTTGACAGAAAATGATTTTTAACACATATCAATTAATGATTGTAATGTTAATTCATGTAGGAATAATGTTAAAAGAGTAGAAATTTGAATCAAACTAGTATCTCCAATGTATCAATTTAATAAGAAGTTATTTGTATAGATGGACCAATTAAAATAACCATTAATACAAGAACAATAAAAAATTAAATCAAATATAAAAGTGAATTGATTAGTCATCATGTTTAACATGGTGTTAGATATTAGAAAGTGTGTTCAACATTGTCAACATTAAATGTTATCCACCTCATCATGAAAGAGTTCATGACAATATGCATTGGAGAATAAATTAGCAACACACTTTCAAAAATTGATAATATAATGAATTTTTATAATGTCAAAGCCACATTGGAGATGCTCAAAGTTTCAAATATGGCTTAGATAAAAATATACATTTTTTTTTTTTTACCAAAAAGCTAGGTCTGGATTACCATAAATAAACATACTTAATATAATTAAACTATTCCGTATAAATCTATTTATTATTTTCTTTCTATAATGTGCATATTATATCATTTTTTAAATTTTATGTTTTATCCATATTATTTTCTTATATTTTTTATATGAAAATATCATAAATAAAACTAATGATGCATATAAATTGATTTTCAGAATTTAAAATAATATTGTTCATTCCCTTAGTTCTTTATTATAAAGTGTTGTATAGTGTTTTTTTATTTATTTTACCCAACTTCAACAAAATATATAAATATTTTTTTCTTTTATTTTTTGTTGTAGTTAACTATTTTATCAAACACCTCGTATAGTACACGGATATCGTACTAGTTCATGTTATATTGCAAAAAAATTACAAATTTAATGTGATAAAATAATTCATGTAATATTGCTGAAAATAAAAAATTAATGTAATTTAATAAATCCGAGAAGGAAAATTTACCTTGAGCGATTGAATATAAATTATTTCTAATTTATCTGGTCGAAATTGAGATTGAATACAATGTATCTTTCAAAATAACTATTATTCATATAATCTTTTTTTTTCTTTTAATTTTATCAATACAATTCATAATAAAAGATAATCGTTATTATATATTTTTAATAATATTTATTATTTATCCACTCATATATTTTTTACTCTATTAATTATTTATATTTATTATTTTATTTTTTTTCCATGTCAATTTTGATCATTGCCTAAATTATATTTCTATACCAATAATCATTTGTATTTACTGTTATCTTATATTTCTATCAAATTAATCTTGAACATTACATTCGGACTTTTCAAGTCGTAGATCTGGACCTATGAATAGGGATATTATCGAAACTCACCCAGATAAAAGGAAGTGAGTTAGACAAAAATTTATTTTTTAACTCAGTTTTTTTATTCAGATAAATTTTGTTTTTGTACACAATTATTCAATTTTTTTTTTAATACAATCATACAGAAAAAAGGAAGTGAGTTAGACAAAAATTTATTTTTTAATTCAGTTTTTTTATTCAGATAAATTTTGTTTTTGTACACAATTCAATTTTTTTTAATACAATATAATAAGCAATTGCAGTTTTTACTTTTTAATGAAATCCTAGTATGTTGAAAATAATGAAAATTTAAATTTAAATTAGGCAAGACAAAAGATATAAAGTACAAGTACTTGAACATCGTGTCCTCCTCAAAACCCCCAATCGGCCACCGTTCTCCATCGCACTTTCGCATTGCGCCGCAGTATTCGCCGCAGATCGAAATTTCTGTCGCCCTCCGTTGCCTGGCCGTATTAACCAGCGGCTCCGTCGCATCCTTTTCACACCGCCTCTATTTCTCCTCTGGTTGCCTCTTTTCCTGCTCTTCTGTTACTTTCGCTCTTCCCCACCACCGTGCAAACATTCGCCGCCGCGCCATACGCGGCGCCTTCCCGTGTGTTTTCTTTCTTTCCGTTTGTAACTCGTGCGGCGGTTCAAAACCCTAATTTTGATTGCGTCCCCCACTGGGCGAGCGCTAAAACCCCTCGTTCCCCTATATCCCTGCGTCGATGGACCGTACTTCGAGATTTCAGAACCCTCTGCCACTTACCAGCGGTGGCCTAGCCAAGCCTCCATCTATTCAGGGCGATGGTGTCGGGATGAAGCCGCTGCCGCCCCAAATCCTCGATCGATTCCGAGCCATGGTGAAGGAGAGAGAGGAAAAACTTAGGGTTTTTAATGGTGGGGTCGTTTTGCCCTTGAGCACGGATGAAATTGTGCGAATTTATGAGATTGTTTTGTCTGAGCTCACAATTAATTCGAAGCCTATCATCACTGATCTCACCATAATAGCAGGAGAGCAGAGGGCGCATGGCGAAGGTATCGCTGATGCTATTTGTGCCCGGATTATTGAGGTATAGCAATTAGGGTTACTCCTGGAATACTCGACCGTAGTTCTTGTAATTTACTTGCTGTTCGTGATATCAAATGTATTGGAGTTGTCTTCCAGTTATAGTGCAGAATGTTTCATATAAGTTGAAGTTCCTTCCTCGTTTCTTTTTCCTTTTAGTTTTGTTT